ACTTAATGTGACCTTTATGGCCCTCTCACGCATGTGAAATCCGATCCGACCCCCCCCCCCCGCCACCGGCGAAAGGCTGGCAGATTCCGTGATCGTGCGCGGCGCGCGTACACGGAGTGTATAGCTTTGTCAGCAACCACGTCCGAACCTGACCTGACACGCTCTTGCCACCAGAGTCAATTTGGGTGATGGATGGGGAGTCCAGCAGATGCCGCGGAAGTTTGTCCCACAATAAAATAATTAACACGCAAGTCGTCGATTCTGCTCACATACCATGAACCAAACGATGGACACCATCACGCGAGACGGCCAAAATTGTCGCGTGGACGTGTAAGGTCTTGATACGTGTATCATGGGCGTAAATTCACAATTAGGAATAGACGGGAAACTTGGGTCATCCGAATCTAAGTTTCAGGCGTCGGATAACCTTAGCATTTGGTCAAGTCTGTCGTCAAATACAAAAGAGTAGGAAGTTTCACCCTCTCATACGGGCGGCTAATTTGACAAAAAGATTATCGAGTCCGTCCCAAATTAGAGCTACCGAACGAGTTCCGTATAAGGATTTTTCAGGGAAGCCTGGATGCAGTAGGGTGAGTAACTGAGCCACAAAACACTACATCGATAGGAATCCAATCAGGCGCACTGCACGTAGTAAATCCGAATAACGCATTCAAATTAGCATACCTAGTCCCTGAAGTAAGAACCAGATCACAAAGGGGGTCAAAATACGCGCCGCCATCGTTACGATCCGGCATTACGGCTCTGTGCCAACCAAACCCCCGTGTACGCGAACGATCATAGTCAGGGACAGATCAAGCTGGTGTCACTGGAATGCGATTTCTTCTCCCCTCCCTCCTGCCCTCCCCTGCCCCAGCAGGTACGACCGGCTCGATTAATGACTTTAACTTTTACCTTGGCGAAAAACCCCTGCGTTTTTAAGCCCCTCAGACTGACTTACGCAAACTACTGTCTTCGCGGCCCAACATACCTGGCGACATCACCTCTGAAGAAGGAATGGAAAGGTGCACCGCCATCTGGACAAGTCAGAGTTAAATACTACCGAAAAGTGTCCTCTGGAGAATAATTCTACCTGAGTAGTAAATAGGCGAGGTTTGGACAATCCGTGGCTGAGTCTAGTGTAGCGTGCAAAAAAATCAATATGCCTGCTACTTTTTGTTTCACCTTATTTCAGGCATTTTGTGGAATGTAGTGCCATACTGCAGTCGCTGTGGGAAGGGTCCCAGTAAGACTGTGGTTATGACTCGAGATGAAAGGACAGTCTGGAAAGCCATTGTCATATTTTGCGGGTTGAAACAGTGACTGCGAATGTGACTAGCCTTGCAGGTCAGTTGATGAATTATCTTTGAAAACGCCAGCGTTTAACATGATGCTTTTTGGTGGGCTAGCCTTCTCCTGCCGTCAGTGTCCCTTTTGCCTGGGAGGTGAAATTCTGCTGTTGGCAGACCAGCCAAGCGAATTTGTGCGGGGCGCGGTTGAAGACAGCAATAAAAAGTGCTGCACCGTTGACCTGTGTGCAGACTTCGCTGCTGGTGAGTAGGCGGCCACTGCGCAGTCAACCCAAGAACTGCACAAAATGAGTTACGTGGGGTCATTGCTAACCAATGACACGGGGACAAAAAGGTTTACTACCGCAAATGTTATTTTTTAATTTTGTCTTTTTTTCTCAGACCAACCCTTGGGATTGGTTCGCTGATAATTATGTATGCAGCAAGACACACGTGCGCAAACTGCAGCCCTGGTTAATGTAGCATAGCATTAAACGGTTCCATCGTGTCCTGCTCGTTCAGTTTCCCACAAGGAAATGGTCATGCATGTTTCATTGAAAAAGCACCGCTTTCGCGTGATTGGAGCAAGCATGTGACATTGTTTTTTGCCTAATCAGTAGATGAAAGTAGGTCTCCACCATTCGATAATGGTTTTATCTCGGCTCCACTATACTTCATCACATTGTCTGTCGAAGTCACCCTAGTTCTGGCTCTAAAAAGCGAAGACACGCTACAATACGGTATACGGGAGCACTTGCTTCTGTCGTTTTAAGCCTTGATTTGAATGTTATTCATTAATTGTTTACACTGCGTGCCCGATCTCATGAAATGTTGGTCGAGATTTTGGAATGCGTTTTCGACTAGGAAGGATTACTTAGGCGGGGTTGTAATATTCATTAGCATGCAGCGTAGTCCTATAGTATTTCGGATTTGCTAGGATTTCGGCTTTGGAATGCATTTCTTTTTGGTCTCCTGCGGAAACCACACTCGGCAAAAAATGACTACTTACGTAGCATGCCTTCTTCCTATTGATTTTCGATGATCTTATAAATTCAAATATATTTTACAGAAAACATGTAAAAAAGTATGCTTTCTTCTACTCATTTGGTAGAAAATCGCATTATATTCATATTTCATACCCGAAGAAAGTGTATATTTAGGTTTTAAAAATGTTTCTTATGATGAGATTTTTAAGGCCCTGTCGATTTCCATGCATGCAAGACCGCATATGTCCATTTATTAATGCTCCCCATGAAATGTACAACACAGTCCGAACCCATTGCAAAATTTCATGAACTATATATGGCAGCTTCTTAAAGACAGGGAAATATATGATTTTCCTTACGCGGAAAGCATGCACATTGTAGTTTGAGATCGCTAACCGCTAATGCAATGGCAGATCAGGCTCAAAATTATTCGGGAATTGGGAAACTTTATTAAAACCTAAATATACACTTTCTTCGGGTATAAAATATGAATATAATGCGATTTTCTACCAAATGAGTAGAAGAAAGCATACTTTTTTGCATGTTATCTGTAAAATATATTTGAATTTATAAGACCATCGAAAATCAATAGGAATAAGGCATGCTACGCAAGTAGTCATTTTTTGCCGAGTGTGGTTTCCGCAAAAGACCAAGAAGAAATGCATTCAAAAGCCGACATCCTGGCGTATCCGAAATACTATAGGACTATGCTGCATGCTAATGAATATTACAACCCCGCCTAAGTAATCCTTCCTAGTCGAAAACGCATTCCAGAATCTCGACCAACATTTCATGAGATCGAGCACGCACTGTATATCTGCTCGAGGGGTTTAGGGGTGTCCAGTTCGAGGCCCATGTGATGGTCGCAGTAGGTCGCCCGCTTGCTTGCAGGTGTAGACTACGCCAAGTGTCCATTCACTGGCACCCAACTCTCATCTGTGGCTCCCCGAAGCTAGGCTCTCTCCAGCGGCCACACTCCGTTAACCGCCTCCACCGGCGGGGTAAACCAGGTGAAGGTATCCGCGTGTGCGTCTCCACATACGGTAGCGCGGCCCCACTCCCACTATCGCTGGCCTCCGAGATGAGGCTTCGTCTGAAAACCTGCAGGAGGCCACAAGATAAGTGACTGCCCGGGCAAGCCGAACTGTAATCTGTCGTCTTTGCTTTCTGCTCTTTCTTGCTTGTTTATTTTTGTTTGCTTGTTTGTGTTTGTCCTTGTTGTAAATTGAATACCGTTCTGTTGAATTTGTCTGTTCACTATTTACATTTCAGCTACCAGTTAGCTTCGAGATGGACGGGAAACTCTGCTTCCCGTCTCTCTACACTTTCCCCACCCCTTCTCCCCCACTCAAAAGTCCTACGGCGAGAATCACGGCGATCACTCAGGCGGCCAGGGCTAACTCGGACCGTTCTTCCACTAGACAAAGTCATGACCCATAGTGGAGTTCGGCAGTCGCCTGGGATGTCTTATCAGCCCTGTTTATGGACAGCACTGCTTTCCCCCGCGAGGGGGGACGAGACTAGAAAAGGTGTCCTAAACAAATGCGGGGACCACGTCCACTGCGCGCTGGCCGTGGCTCGCAGACGCAAAACGTTCAACCGAACTAATTAAACAAAAAATAATAAACACTCTCTCTTCCCAATACATTCTTCCACCTGCCGATGCGGAAGAAAGCCACATGAATGGACCCCGATCGCGACACTGACACCTGCTGGACTGTGTCCTCGTCCGGAGGCGAGATCAGTGGGACGTGCTGGTGACAAAGGCGATCCCGGGTGCCAACGGGTGGGCCGACTATCGCCTCGTCATCTCCGAGATGCGAATTCGCCTACAGTCTCGCAGAAGACCTCCAGGTAAGCGATCCATGGCTAAGTCCAATATTGCCTTGTTGTGCTTGCCTGCTCACCATATCCATTTAAGTAATGAATTAGCCCAAACGCTAGCCAGCTTTTCAGTCGCCGCTGCCGCCGCCGGCGAGAACGTCCCCGTGGAGGACCGATGGTGTCAACTGAAAGACATGATCTACCACCCTGGCTGTCCACCTGCACAAAGCTTACTTCAATCGCCCTACTGATGACAACAAAGCAGCTTTCTACCGTAGTCGCCGCCTTGTGCAACATCGGCTGCGGGAGATGCTGGTGGGCTAGACGGTTTGGAAGAAAGAGGAGATCCAAAAATACGCGGATCAAAATGAATAGAAGAACTACTTCGCCGCAAGCAAGGCTGTCTACGGCCCCACGGCCGGAGGTGCCGCTCCTCTACTCAGTGCCAACGGAACCATCCTATTCATTGAGAAGACGAAAATTCTGCAGGGATGGGCCGAACACTTCCGAGACGTTTTTAGCCATTCCTCTACCACCCCCGATGCCGCCATCGTCCGCCTGCCTCAAGTAGAGCTCAACGTCGACCTCGACCTCACGCCCTCTCTACATGAAACAATCACGGTCATGCAGCAGCTCTCCAGCGGGAAAGCGCCCAGATCGGACGCGATCCCTGCTGAGATCTACGAGCATGGTCGCCCCCAATTTATGGAACACCTGACGGCGCTTTTTCTGGAGATTTAATTTCAAGGATAAGTCTCCCAGGATTTCAAGGACGCCAGAAGCGTCCACTTCTACAAGCCGAAAGAAGACCGCCAAATGTCCGAGCACCATCAAGGTATCTCCCTGCTAAAAATCGCCGGGAAAATCTTTGCTTGCATTCTTCTCAATCGTCTGAGAAACCATCTGGAAGAAGATCTCCTGTCGGAAAGCCAGTACGACTTCCGTCATTATCGCGGAACCGCCGACATGATCTTCGTTGCCCGCCAACCGCAGGAGAAGTATCAGGAGATGCGGATCCACCTCTACTCTACATTCGTGGATCTGACGAAGGCCATCGGCGCAGTAAGTCGCGAAGGTCTGGGGAGGATAATGCAGAAATTCGGCTGTCCTGAGCGAGTCACTCAGATGGTGCGTCGGCTCCACGATGGCATGACGGCGCGCGTCACGGCCAATGGAGTCGTCTCAGAGGCATTCTCAATGACCAACGGAGTGAAGCAGGGCTGCATCCTCGCGCTTACACTCCTCGGTCTGATTTTCTATGCCTTGCTGCTGGACGTCTACCGTAACGAACTCTCTGGGATTCGCGTAGCCTACAGGATGGACGGCCGACTCCTCAATCAGTGGCGGATGCACTTCCAGTCGCGTGTATCCGCAACTTCCGTCCATGAACTTCTTTTCACTGACAACTTTGCTTTCAACGCCACCTCCGAAGGGGACATGCAAAGGAGCATGGACCTCTTTGTCGCCGCCTGCGACAACTTCGGCCTGATCATCAGCACGGAGAAGACGGTGATTAAACACAAACCGCCACCCGATGCTGTCTACGTCGCATCCCAAATTAGCATGGAGGGCGCCCAACAGCAAGCCGTGGACGACTTCACCTACATTGACAGCACCCTCTCTTGCCACACCAAAATCGACGATGAAATGGCCCGCCGCACTTCAAAGGCCAGCTAAATCTTCGGCCAACTGCGAAACACAGTTTCGAATCGACACGGTCTCCACTAAACTAAAGATATACAAAGCAGTCATCCTGCTGACGCTGCTGTATGGTAGGACCGCATCCCAGAGATGGGCGCGCTGGAGCGGACGGGAATCCTCAGCATCTATGCCGTGCCGAAACAATTGCAACTGCGCTGGGGCGGCCACCTCGTGCGGATGGACGACGAGCGGTTACCCAAAGGACTCTTCTATGGAGATGTCGCGACGGGTTCAGGCCGACAAAGAGGTCAAGTCCGGCGCTACAAGGACACCCTGAAGACTTCCCTGAGACTCCTGAAAATCAACCCGGCCAACTGGGAAGATCTCACCCAGGACCGATCTACGTGAAATAGATCAGTGAAGACAGGCGCAACGATCTGCGAAGCCAACCGTACCACCGCCGCCAATGCCAAACGTGAAGTTCGCACATCTCAATTGCGCCACCTCGGCACGCCAATGCTCAGTCAGCCCCTAAACTGCCCACGATATTAGCGGACGTTCCAGATACCAATAAGTCTCATTGGACGCCGCTGGACCAACGGCGGCCCCGGGCGACACCAGTTGCTGTCTTCCCATCCAACTCTGCCTCACCCCTCACGTCGACAGTCAACACTGGCCGCACGTCCGAACCTGCACTACCATCCTCCTGCTTCTCCTCCTCCCTCATTCCCCCCTCCTACTCCCTCTCCTCCAGTGCCTCAGCATCCCCTACGGTGGTTTCTGTACCCACCACCACTGCACACCATCCCGACACACCGAAAATCATCAACCCTCCCCCCACCAACAATCGGGACCGACGGCACGGACTTAAGTTTATCTTCGAGCCATCAAACGCGGCGACACTGCCGTGCTGTCGTTTAAGAGGCAGGCGTAAAATGCTCACTGACAGTCGTGGTGCATTTACGCCTTGACCAGGTAGGTGTGCGGTGCGTTTGTGTGCAGGGGTATAATGGAACTCCTCATCTGCCATTCATGCGCATCTCGTGGATGTGACAGTTCGATCCACACATGTGACGATGCACCCACCCCAGCGCGATGGGCGCAGGACGGTGACTTGTGCATGAATTAGTTAATAATGACAGCAGACTTGCGCAGGGTCTGTCATACCCTCTCTCCTACCCCAGCCCTGAGGGTCCGGTGGCAAGGCAGAGTCAGGAGGACAGAAGGTTGACTGTCCGCCTACGCATGTCGCGCAGGACCTGGTTTCTGCAAAATGGACCAGGCTGCAATAAGCTCGGCTCTGATCTCACATCAGTTAGGACGTCATAGGGACAATAAACGTCTAGGTGTATACTGAGTGACCGGTCCCATGAAATGCTGGCCGAAATTCTGAAATGCGTTTTCGATGAGGAAGGATTACTTAATTGGGGTTGTAATACTGATTATCTGGAGACATAATCCGATATTATTTCGCACTCACCAGGATGTCGGCTTTTGAATGCACTTCTTTTCGACCTCCTATAGAAACCGCATTCAGCAAAAGTAACTACCTAAGTAGCAAGCATTTTTCACATTGACTTTCGATGCTTTCTCCTACACATTTGGTAGAAAATTACGTTTTCTTCGCATTTCCTACCCGAAGAAAGGACATATTTAGGTTTTTTAAAAGGTTATAATTATGGGTTTTTTAAAGATCGCGCAATGTCCATCCATACAGTATCGTACCTTCCCGTTTACCAACGCTCCTCGTTAAATGTACCACATAGTCCGCAAGCATTACAACATTTTAGGAACTTTATGTTGTATCTTCTTGAAGGCATAGAGCAATATAAGATTTGCCTAACGGAGAAAACATGAACCTCATAGGCTGAAATTGCTAAATATTAATGCAACGGCTGATCGAGTTCAAAATATTTCTTGAATTGGAAAGCTTTCTAAAATTTAAATAGCCCATTTCCGGAAAAAATGTAAAGCCAACGTGATTTTTTACCAAACGAGTAAAACAAAGCATATTTCCGTGCATGTTCTCTATGAAGTGTATTTAAATTTATGAGACCATCAAAAATCAACCTGAAAAATGCTTATTACTTAGGTAGTTACTTTTTGTCGAGTGCGGTTTCTATAGAAGGTCGTAGAGAAGTGCATTCCAAAGCTGACATCCTGGCGAGTGCGAAATATTATAGGATTATGCCGCAAGATAATCAGTATTAAAACCACACCTAAGTAATCCTTCTTTAGCGAAGACGCATTTTGGAATTTCGGCCAACAGTTCTTGAGACAGGTCACTCACTGTACATGTCCCTGTACATATCAGAAACATTCCTCGCGATTTGCAAACCATTCTGAACATCCCCTTGGATTATGAATTAGAAAGATTTAATTCGAATCGGGAGCAGTCCATAGTGAAGATTGATGCATTCTTTCAAAGATGGGTCTTGATTGCATGCGATTAGTGCTCAAACTCGATATTAAGTGGTTGCATTTTCAAAGATAACCCATCGACTGGTCTACAAGGCCAGTCACCTGCGCAGTCACTGTTCCAACACGCAAAATATGACAATAGCCTTCCAGACTGTCCCTCCATCTCACGTCATAAACTCAGTCTTGCTGGGCGCCTTCCCAAAAGCGACTGTAGTATGGCACGACTTCCGATCAAACATTGGAAATCGGGTGAAACAAAAAACAGCAGGCATATTGATTTTTTTGCACGCTACACTAGGCTCAGCTACGGATTGTCCAAACCTCGCCTATTTACTACTCAGACAGAATTATTCCCATGCGACATTTTTCGATAGAATTTTGCTCTGACTTGTCCAGATGTCGGTGCACCTTTCCATTCCTTCTTCAGCGTTGATGCTGCCAGGCATGTTGGCGGCGAAGACAGTACTTTGCGTAAGTCAGTCTGACGGGCGCAAAAACGCAGGACCTTTTCACCAAGGTAAAAGCTAGTCATTAATCTAGCCGGTCGTACGAGCAGGGGCAGGGGAGTGCAGGAGGAGGAGGGGGAGAATAAATCGCATTCCAGTGATGCCAGCTTGATCTGTCCATGATCATCACTGTTCGCGTACACAGGGGTTTGGTTGAGACAGAGCCGTAGTGCCGGACCGTAACGATGGCGGCGCGTATTTTTACCCCCGTTGTGATCTGGTTCTTACCTCACGGGCTAGGTATGATTTCCCGACATTTGCGTAATCTCATTGCGCTCCATTCTCAACCTGTCTTGCGGTCTAAACTGTCAAATTTTTATTGGTAGACTTAGTGGCCACTCACACCGAAAATAGAATGACTATTTCTAGCTAATTTGCTCCATCAGCCAGTCCTAATCCAATCTCAGGTCAAATATCTGAGACTAATGATAGCGTTGAAGAAGTGGGTTTTATTCCAAAAACCGGAGCTTCTTGGAGTTTACTATACAAGAGGGAGGTATAAAGCTACCGCAAGGCTGACTGATCACCTTGAGGTAATATGCACCATAGGCCATAGAATTCGGGAGATTATGAAGGAGAGGCTTTACTCCGAAGGCTGACATTCACTCGCGGACCAGCAGTCAATCATTATGTTCCGGCTCAAACAGAACTTCCTTAGCGCCTATCTCGTTGACCACCAGCCCTTTTCAGCAGTGTACTATTTGATGTAATGTCCGCGGTCAGAACAGCAGACCGCCTCTGGCGGGCACTTTTTCTCCCATGCCAATGAGGAGCGACAAAAAATTCTATAGCAGTCTTAGCAGTGCTCCACAAAAATTTCAGAACACGATTTTTCGAAAAGTTTCGGGGCAGTTTCCG